CTCCTGCACCAGTCTAAGCTCTAATATTAACATCCTTATGGTACTTAGGTTCTGATGTTTTATGCCAGGCTGCCTGTTTATGAGTATGCTCTTTTTTTTTTTTTTTTTGAGATAGAGTCTTATTTTGATGCCCTTGGTAGAGTGCCGTGGTATTAAAGCTCACAGCAATCCCAAACTCTTGGGCTTAAGTGATGCTCTTGTCTCAGCCTCCCAAGTAGCTGGGACTACAGGCGCCCGCCACAAGGCCCAGCTATTTTTTGGTTGCAGTTTGGCCAGGGCTGGGTTTGAACCAGCCACCCTCGGTATATGGGGCTGCTGCCCTACCCACTGAGCCACAGGTGCTGCCCTTGTCTACATTTCTTTATGAAGTTACTTTTTAGCTCCATTTAATTAATAGGGGAGGTACTTTGAAACTATGTAAATATTTTGCCCTTATTAAAATTTTAGATCATTTATTTGTCATTATGGACTTGAGGTTCCCTAGTCTGCCCTGGCTTTGTTAGGGTATCTTTTTCCACAAATACCTCCTTCATCTTACTTGGGCTCTGACTCCAGTTCCCTGTATGAAGGCCCTCTTCACTCTGCTCAGGTTCCAGCTCCCCGTGCCAGTGTTTAACTTCCATGGCCTACTTTCTGTATTGGATGATCTCCTGATGGCCACTTTCCTCACCATGCTCAGGCTTCCACATCCTGTGCTTAGCTGCCCATTTGTGAGAATTTTCTTGCTTGGGTTCTTTTTTTCTTTTTTGAGATAGAATCTTACTTTGTTGCCCTAAGTAGAGTGTCATGGCATCATAGCTCACAGCAACTTCAAACTCTTGGGTTCAAGTGATCTTGCCTCAGGCTCCTGAGTTTCTGGGACTACAGGTCCCCTACCCAGTGCCCTACTATTATCAGAGATGAGATCTTACTCTGGCTCAGGCTGGTCTTGAACCGTGAGCTCAGGCAATCCACTCACCTTGGCCTCCCAGATTGCTAGGATTACGGGCATGAGCTACCATGCCCAGCCTAACTTGCTTGGGTTCTTATACCCTGTATGACCTTTCCTTGTGGACACTTTTCATACTCTCCTTGGTCTTAAGCACCTCATCCAGCTTCTACTGCTACAGGGTGCCTCTTAGACTCCTGCA